TCACGCTCTGGGGATATTTCAGTCTGGACGTGGTTCAGTTTGGATTTTCTCCCTGCCAGACACACCAGCTCCCTCTGATTTAGCTGAACTTCTGCAGAGTCCAGGGACAATAACCCGTACTCAGATGACAAGGTTATAAATTTAGGTTCTTACTTCTATGTTGTGTATTCAGCCCACTTCCACTCTTTGCAGTAACTGGATGTTTTAAAAATTTAGTTCTTATGCATTTTTAATTAGGGATAATGGTTCATTTTGCCATATGGGTCCCTCAGCATCTCTCGAAGTTCCCTCTAAATACAGACTGATGTCCTGTCTCACAGCCCTTTCTTAAATCCCATTACTCCCACAGACAGGGCAGRTCTCTTTGAAGTCGTGACCCAGTTCTTACACGGAGACTTGGAAGTTATCCCTACACTTGGATTTGTGTGCTTTCATGTGCCTCCCTGCGTTTCTTTCAGATGATTCTAAGGAGGTCAGAACATCATGGGACTCATAATGAAGTGACAGAAATAAACACTGTCTGCATCCCCTGCCCATTCCCTTGCCTCCAGCCATCCAGGTGGTTGGACACCATCAGCCCAGGGTTTAACACAGCACAAAGCTCAGCCCCAAATTTTTACGAAGTTTGTGCCAGGCCGCGCTGCAGCAGCACCACTGACTGGGTTATTTAGAAGAGAAATTTGTATTGCACACAGGGTGGGATTCAACTCTGCAAAGATTTACTCTGAACACTTCAACCCAACGTCCCACCTCAGTGCAAACAGTCAGATGCCAAAAGTGGGGAGTTCACATAAAGCTGGGGCTGCATGGGAGCAAGCTTTTTCAGAAGGCTTGGTAATAGGAAACTATAATTCCCCAGCCACTAAAACATTATTCCCCACGCTAGTGAGGAATGGTTCCCGCCAAGCAATCCTCTCCTCTGGACTTTCCTCCTCTTCCTCCCATCATACACGCTTTCATTTTACATTCCACTGCTGCTCCTCTGCCTTTATCCAGCTTATATTTAGCTCCTGTTAACTTGGAAGGGAGAAAGCAGTGTGTAGAAAACAAGTACAGGCTTGGACCTGTACACATAATGAAGGTAGTTKAACACCATTAATTAATTCAGCATTAACAGGCACTGCCACAGAGCCCAGACAGGGCATCCCCTGTCCCCAGGGCAGCTCTCTGCCCTTTGAAGCCCGAGTCACCCTCAACCTGTGCAGGGAAATAAACAAAAACCAAATGCCAGCACCAAGCTGGAGTTGAACTGAAACCCTTTGTTGTTTCCACCTGGCTTGGGAGCATTTTCAGCCATATCTCATCAGGGACAATATTTCCTCTTCTCTGACACCACCAGGGAACAGTGTGTTGACCTTATCTAATGGAACATTTTCTTTTTAATTCTACCTGGCAGTGCCATGTGTAGATGGTAGTTTTAGTAATAAATTAATAGGGTTTTTTTTTTCCCCTCTCTGAAGAACCAGATGCAATTTCTGTTCTGTTGATTGTGTGGCACATGTATGTTTTAAGATTAATATATCCCAAGCTACTTTCAAAAAAATTAGTYACAACTAACACTAAAAGAGAGTCTCTGGCCTTGGTAAGGTGATCTATTATGTCACAAAATGAAATCTGCACTAAATATCCACTTTAGATTTGTATCTGCTGATAATTATTTCCAGTACTTCCTTGCTTAATGAACTTAAATGCATCACTGCCATTATAATGTCACTGTGGGCATTTTACTTCAAATGTTTTCAATTTATCATGGACTTGTAACCCACTGACTTCCAGAGATGGGTGGAAACAACAATTTCATCACTAACTTTGCCATTTGGCGCCTGGAGAAGTTTTTTTCTGTGCAACCATTAGAGCTACCCACTGTAACAGTGCTTCAAACACTTGGATAAAATCTTACAGTCTGTGGTCTAGAACAGAAACCAATGTGTTCCTTCTTGGATAATACTGGAATAGATACAGCAACTTCCTGACCTGAAAGCTGTTTCAAGTTCAATTTTTATTTCTATTTTTTTAAAAATGCTATTTGATAGGGCATTATATTAAGTAAAAGATAACATTTTACAGCACGTCCTATTAACCTTGTAAGTATGTACCAGATGCTTGTGCAGCATTTCACACAAACGAAACTATTCCTAAGGTAACTTTGACCCTCAT